CAGGATTAGCCCTGTAAAGTGAAAAAAAACAAAAGGAGATTTCTTCCAACAACCGGTTCTCCGAACTGCTTAGAAAGTTAACAACAAGTTCTCCCGAATAGGTGCGAACCGGCTGAATCCCACCACTGAAACAAATATTTCTACTAAAGCCAACAAGTTTGTATCCTTATTGCTATTCCCCTTCGGTAGGTTCTGTCAACTCAACCCCAAGGAACCTCTTGGGCAACTCTGCCCAATTCTAATCTTCTGGATCTGAGTTTTCCCCGACAATAGGAGAGAATGCCAAGCAGCTAAGAACGGTGTTTCAACAGGAATGAGGATTGTGTGTCCTCAAAGAACACAATCTCTCCAGCTCAAGTTCTCACTTGAAAAGTAGCACAATATGCAAAGGGTTATAAAGAGCTAAACTAGCATAGGTGTGGAATCCTAGTCTTTGTTTTCCTTATTAGGGCAATATTTTCTTACCCCCATGCTCGTGTTTACTTTGATGCATTAAGCTGGACACGCTTTAAAAAGGCATCTGGCCAGACCTGCTTGCCAGAGAATTTCCTCCGAGTTAGTAAAGTTGGAGCTGCAACTTTGAAAAGAGGAAAGAAAAACAAACCACGGAATAAATCCCATACAAATCTTCCTTCATTAAGCTTTAGAGGGATGCGGTGGCTAAGACACTGAACTTGTCAATCAGAAAGGTTGGCAGTTCGGCAGTTCGAATCCCTGTGAGCTCCTGTTGCTTGTCTCAGTTTCTGCCAACCTAGCAGTTTGAAAGCACATTAAAAAAATGCAAGTAGAAAAATAGAAACCACCTTTTGGTGGGAAGGGAACTGCGTTCCGTGTGCCTTCGGCGTTGAGTCATGCCGGCCACATGACCCCGGAGACATCTTCGGACAGCGTTGGCTCTTCGGCTTTGAAACGGAGATGAGCACCGCCCCTTAGAGTCGGGAACGACCAGCACATGTGTGCGAGGGGAACCTTTACCTTTAATTAAGCTTTAAAGCAGGGATGTCCAATCATGGCGACTTTTAACACCCGTGGACTTCAACTCCCAGAATTCCCCAGCCAGCCAGCATGGCTGGCTGGGGAATTCTGGGAATTGAAGTCCACAAGTCTTACAAGTATCCCGATTGGACCTCCCTGCTTTAAAGCTAAAGAAAGTGGAGACTTGTTATCCACTTGGATTTTGGGGTGATTCATTTTTTCCCCCGTAAAGGCTTCAAACTCGTGTTTGTGGCCAAAACATGTCCTTGGCAGATATCCTTTGTTTTCCAGGGATGTTTCTTTCCACCTCGCTGTGTGGCTATAACCCGAGGATTCCCAGAGGTCTTTTATCAAAGTACTAACAAGCCCATCCTGTTTAGCTTGGGAGGCCAGTGAAGATCAGCCAAGGTCCCCGTGCCTGCTGAAACCTCATTACTCATTAGAAAGGACCAAAACTGTAGATAAGAAAGTTGGTTTCCCCCTGTTTGCTTTCTGGCTCTTTGAAGATTAACACAAAAACGCTGCACTCGTAAAATACACTCTACACTCGGCAAGATTCACAGGGTGTTTTAACCTGTTCCAGAAATTCAGCATATTCGGTGACCTTAGCCATGTTCGCAACACTTGACGGTTTATCTTTCGAGGCGTTATCTCTTGGGTGTCAGATTGTGAAAGTCGCACAAATCAAAAGCGTAGAGGCAGGAATTGTCTTTCGTGCACAACCTGGTGAGATTGAGGCCTCTTTATCTGGAAGAAATCCTGGCGAATTCCATGAGATTTAATCCTAAAGAAAATAGGCTTCCAGATTATCTTTCTGAACTGGGCATGTAAAATAATATAATTTGCCCCCTCTGTTTTTCCTTTCCTTTTACTATAACCGTGATTATTGAAGCTGTGAGAGCCATTAAAAAAAAAATCAACCTTACAGGTAGTTCTCGGTTTACGGCCGCAATTGTGAGCCCAAAATCTCCATCGCTAAGCGAGACAGTTGTTAAGTGACTCTCCCCCACCTTCTACAATGTTTCTTGCCACGTTGTTACGTGAATCACTTCAGTTGTTAAGTTCATAACACAGTTCAGTGATGGGATTCAATTTTTTTTACTACCAGTTCTGTGGGCATGGCTTGGTGGGCGTGGCAGAGGAAGGATACTGCAAAATCACCATTCCCTCCCCACTCCAGGGAACGGATACTGCAAAATCTCCATTCCTTCCCCACTCCAGGGAACGGATACTGCAAAATACCCATTCCCTCTCCATCCTGGGGGAAGGATACAGCAAAATCCCCATTCACTCCCGATCAGCTGGGACTTGGGAGACAGAGAATAGATGGGGGCGGGGCCAGCCAGAGGTGGTATTTACTGCTTCTACAAACTACTCAAAATTTCCACTGCCGCTTTCCAGAACTCGTCAGAACCTGCTAAATATTACCTTTGAAATGGTGGTTAAGTGAATCTGGCTTCCCCATT